ATGCAGTGTGTGTAGTGGATGCAGTACATTTGATAGAGGTTGTGTTCCGTGGCAGTGAGCAGTTTATTATTATTTTTTAACTTAGAATTTATGTTTACCTCTACCTGTCTCTTACCTGTGGCCAGGGAGGGGGGGGTCACTACATACTCTCATGGGTGTACATATATAGCGACACTCACTATATATATATATATATATATATATATATGTACACACTAAAAATTATAAATGCAACACAATCTGTCTAAATCTGTGTTAGTGAGCACTTCTCCTTTGCTGAGATAATCCATGCACCTCACAGGCATATCAAGATGCTGATTAGACAGCATGATTATTGCAAAGGTGTGCCTTAGGCTGGCCACAAAAAAAGGCCACTCTAAAGTGTGCAGTTTTATCACACAGCACAATGCCACAGATGACGCAAGTTTTGAGGGAGCGTGCAAGTGGCATGCTGACTGTAGCAATTTCCATCAGAGCTGTTGCCCGTGAATTGAATGTTCATTTCTCTACCATAAGCCATCTCCAAAGGCGTTTCAGAGAATTTGGCCTCACAACCGCAGACCACGTGTAACCACACCAGCCCAGGACCTCCACATCCAGCAACTTCACCTCCAAGATCGTCTAAGAACAGCCACCCAGACAGCTGCTGCAACAATTGGTTTACATAACCAAAGAATTTCTGCACAAACTGTCAGAAACCGTCTCAGGGAAGCTCATCTGCATGCTCGTCGTTCTCATCTGGGTCTCGACCTGACTGCAGTACGTCGTCGTAACCGACTTGAGTGGGCAAATGCTCACGTTCGATGGCGTCCGGCCCTTTGGAGAGGTATTCTCTTCACGGATGAATCATGGTTTTCACTGTACAGGGCAGGTGGCAGACAGCATGTATGGCGTCATGTGGGTGAGCAGTTTGCTGTCACAAGCCACAATAAGCAACCTGATCAACTCTATGCGAAGGAGATGTTTTGCACTGCGTGAGGCAAATGGTGGTCACACCAGATACTGACTGGTTTTCAGACCCTCCCCCCCCCCCCAGATCCCCCTAATACAGTAAAACTGCACATTTTAGAGTAGCCTATTATTGCAGCCAGCCTAAGTCACACCTGTGCAATAATTATGCTATCTAATCAGCATCATGATATGCCACACCTGTGAGGTGGATGGATTATCTCAGCAAAGGAGAAGTGCTCACTAACACAGATTTAGACAGATTTGTTAACAATATTCGAGAGAAATAGGCCTTTTGTGTACATAGAAAAAGTCTTAGTTCAGCTCATGAAAAATGGGGCCAAAACAAAAGTGTTGTGTTTATAATTTTGTTCAGTGTATATTTGTGCTCGGAGTTTATCTAATACGTAATGGAATGTACATGCACATTAGAAATAGGGGCCTGGGCCCCTACAGCTGAATTGGTGTAGTACCCCTCATGGCGGCTCGGCACACTACTATGATTTTCCCTGTTAATAGAAAGACAGATGGACAGATAGACATCTTTATCATCACACACAGACAACCCTTGCCATGACCCAGTTGTGGAACTACCACTGTAACTGCACCAGAGCCTCAGCTTGTGAGGTGTCCACCAAAAGCCAGGTAGCATGCACATGTCCCTATATATTCCTAGTAATTGCTGCTGTGAAATATAGAGAAACACAGTTTATAAATACAACCCTGCTAGGTTGAGCAAATGGTAGATCCACAGCCGGTTCTTAATTTTTGCCCAAAACATTTTTATGCACCAGGGCCCTTTCTACATTAGTTCCACCACTAATATTAAGCATAAGTGTCTGCCTAGATGTAATTTCCTCTTCTTACCTCTGCTATCAGCTCTGCTGAGCAAGTATTGATCTGCTTCTCAGACACACGTAATCACACACAGCACTGGAGCTCTATGAGTATACTGTGATGCCACCAATGGATTGTGATGTCAGCACATGATGTCAGCATTAATGAAATTTTTACAGGGTGAAAGATTATGTTATAGGAGTGTATATATACAATTGCAAATGTGGGTATATATATATATATATATACAAAAAATAGATAACTTGGCACTCACCCTTTCTCCAAAGTAATAATGGCCTGGGTGCAGGGCCGGATTAAGAGCCCAATGGGCCTGGTGCTGAAAATTATGATGGGCCTAATTATGGAATCTTATCGACCAAAAACACTAAAACAATCATACCTCCCAAGCGTCATGTATCTGATGGAGATGGTGCTGGAGGGAAACTCATAGGATGCAGCTATAAGAAAACACATACTCTATGCTAATCTCTCTCTAATTTATGCTTTCATCTTTCAAGTAAATCCATAACCCCTAACAGCAGTGTCCAGTGAAGCAGGAAGTCAATGGGCAGGGTAAAAGGGTGTGCCAGTGGCGCGAATCACGTGACAAGACCTGCCAAAAGGGGTGAACATGCCCAAAAAGGGGGCATGTTTGTCCAAAGAATTGGAAGGTCAACCTGGCATGAATGCATGTCAGGCTGCCTGCCAATCCTGCAGGCTGTCCAACTAAGGGCATACTATGCAGGCAGCACCTTGAGCTTGACATAAATGCGTCTAATGATGTGCTCACTTCATTCTTTCTAAGGACTGTCCCATAGCACTCGCTGGTCCACTTGTCTCCTTACCTTCTTACTAGCAGGCAGAAGTTCCTGGTATATAGTCTGAGACAAAGAAAAGGTGTCTGTAGTGAGTGTAGAAGAAAGGGGACATGCCACAGTGTTAGAGAGACCAACGTCTGCATTTCCTAAATGAACTTAAAGGACCACTATAGTGCCAGGAAAACATACTCGTTTTCATGGCACTATAGTGCCCTGAGGCAGGGCCGGATTAAGAGCATACTGGGCCTGGTGCTGACAAATATGATGGGCCTAATTACGGAATCTTCTCGACCAAAAACACTAAAACAGTCATACCTCCCAAGCGTCATGTATCTGATGGAGATGGTGTTAGAAGGAAAATCAAAGGATGCAGCTATATGAAAACACATACTCTATGCTAATCTCTCTCTAATTTATGTTTTCATCTTTCAAGTAAATCCATAACCCCTAACAGCAATGTCCAGTGAAATAGGAAGTCAATGGGCGAGGTAAAAGGGTGTGCCACTGGTGCAAATCACGTGACCAGACCTGCCAAATGGGGTGAACATGCCCAAAAAGGGGGCATGTCTGTCCAAAGAATTTGAAGGACAGCCTGGCATGAATGCATGTCAGGCTGCCCGCCAATCCTGCAGGCTGTCCAACTAAGGGCATACTATGCAGGCAGCACCATGAGCTTGACATAAATGCATCTAATAATGCGCTCACTCCATGCTTTCTAAGGACTGTCCCCTAGCACACGCTGGTCCACTTGTCTCCTTACCTTCTTACTAGCAGGCAGCAGTTCCTGGTATATAGTCTGAGACAGAGTAAAGGTGTATGTAGTGAGTGTAGTGTTTGTAGTGAGTGTAGTGTATGTAGTGAGTGTAGAAGAAAGGGGACATGCCACAGTGTTAGAGAGACCAGCGTCTGCATTACCTAAACTAATTTTATTGACAGCTAGTCCACACAAGTTTTGTTCCCATACATCCCTCTTAAGCTTCCAAACTTAAAAGGGACACTATAGTCACCAGAACAACTACAGCTTATTGTATTTGTTCTGGTAAGTAGAATCATTCCATTCAGGCCTTTTGCAGTAAACACTGTCTTTTCAGAGAAAATAACTCCACTGGCCACTCCTTAGATGGCTGCTAGAGGTGCTTCCTGGGGCAGTACTGCCTAGTGTGCAGCACTGTCATTCAGTGTCTCCACCCTTTGCATGCAGACACTGAACTTTCCTCATAGAGATGCACTGATTCAATTTATCTTTATGAGGAGATGCTGATTGACCAGGGCTATGATGGACTTGTGCTGGCTCTGCCCCTGATCTGCCTAGTTCACAGTCTCAGCCAATCCCATGGGGAAGTATTGTAATTTGCTCAGACCACCACTTCTGAGCCAGCACCTGCAGAATTGAATACAAGTAATATTTTACTATATTGAGGGAGGCAAGAAGGGGCCAGGGTGGTGGTTTTAACATAATAGGGTCAGAAATACATGATTGTGTTCCTGACTCTATAGTGCTCCTTTAAGCAAGAATATGGGAAGAATAGTTAAGGTTGCCACCTTTCTTTCAAAAAAGTACCAGCCTTAATCATTTGTATAATTAATTAGTTATGCGTGACATCACATGATGTAAATCACAAGGAGTGACATCAGAGGAAATTGTAAAATCACCAACAAGCTACTCACAGTTTGATTCTGCTGTATAGATGGATTGCTCCCAGTGTCTCCCTGTCTCCCAGTGTCTCAGTCTCACAAGTCACCCAGTGTCTCAGTGTCCCTATGTATCACAGTGTCAGTGTCCCCATGTCGCCCAGTCCCCTAGTCTCCCAGTGTCTGTGTCCCCATTTCTCCCAGTGTCCCAATGTCTCAATGTGCCCCCATGTCACTAGGATACTGGGGACACGGAGAGACATGGGGACACTGAGAGACCCGGGGACACAGAGACATGGGGACACTGAGACATTTAGGGAAACTGGGAGAAATGGGGACACAGACACTGGGAGACATGAGGACACTGAAACATTTGGGGACACTAAGACACTAGGGACACAGACATGGGAACACAGACACTGGGAGACTAGGGGACACTGGCTGGGAGACAGACACTTGGGGACATTGGGAGACATGGGGACAGTTGTGGATATAGACATGTGGACACTGGGACATATAGGGACACTGGGAGACATGGGGACACCGGGCACACTGAGACACTAGGAATACAGACACTGGGAGACATGGAGACACTGAAACATTTGTGGACACTAAGACACTAGGGACACAGACACTGGGAGACTAGGGGAAACTGTGAGACTAGGGGATACTGGGAGATTAGGGGACACTGGCTGGGAGACAGACACTTGGGGAGACATGGGGACAGTTGTGGACATGGACATGGGGACATGGGGACACTAGGCACACTGAGAGACATGGGACACAGACACTGGGAGACTTGGGGACACTGAGACACTAGGGACACTGACTGGGGGACATGGTGTCTCCGTGTCCCAATGTCTTCCAATGTCCCTATGTCTCACAGCGTCCCTATGTGTCTCAGCATCCCCATGTGTCCCAGTGTCTCAGTGTCCCCATGTTTTCCAGTGTCCCCAAGTGTCTCAGTGTCCCCAGGTCTCCCAGTGTCTGTGTCCCCATGTGTCCTAGTGTCTCAGTGTCCCCTAGTGTCTGTGTCCCCATGTGTCCCCTAGTGTCTGTGTCCCCATATGTCCCCAAGTGTCTGTGTCCCCATGTTTTCCAGTGTCCCCAAGTGTCTCAGTGTTCCCAGGTCTCCCTGTGTCTGTGTCCTAGTGTCTCAGTGTCCCCTAGTGTATGTGTCATCATGTGTCCCCTAGTGTGTCTGTGTCCCCTAGTGTCTCAGTGTTCCCATGTGTCCCTGCTACCTTTACCCCCATCCATCACTTACCTGAGCTGTAGAGCTGCTGTCTGGACTCTCTGTGCTGTGTTGCTGCTCCCCCACGGATCAGTGAGTAGTAGAGAGAGGCAGGGATATTCTGTAACTTCCTATCCCTGCCTCTCTCCACACACAGTGACCCCTACTGGCTGGTGCTGGTATTGCAGGGTAATTTCCATTTATTCTGAGAAAATTACCTGCATTTGTATTGCCGGTATTACTGCAATACCGTCACGGCCAGGCAGCCTCACATACCGGCTGTGCCAGCAAAATAGCAGTCAGGTGGCAAACCTAAGAGTAGTGTGTAAAAAAAAAAAAAAAAAAAAAATTTTTTTTTTTTTTAAATGGGCCTATTCCATGGGCCTGGGCCTGGAGCTGCAGCTCCATCAGCCCCTATGTTAATCCGGCCCTGCCCGTAGTGTAGTGGTATTGTTTTAGGTAGCGCAAATGCTTCTCTGTTGTGGCGATTTCAAGGTTATGTAAGTCAGTTCTGAGTCGTTGTATCTGCTTGTGTGTCGTTTTATGAGGTGAGGTTTTGTGTTGGGACTCTAATGCGGCGAGTTTTGCGAGGATTTCATCCTTCGCTGTGTTGTGTTGTTTTTTCGCCCTGGCTCCCGCCTGTATCAGAGCTCCTCGCATAACTGCCTTGTGTGCTAGCCATTGAATTGTGATGGGCGTGGTGCAGGATTCGTGTAGTGAAAAGAAGTCAGTTAGTTGGGTTAGGATGGATGAGTAGGTGTTGGGGCGGTCCAGAAGAACCTCATTGAGGCGCCAGGATCCTGTGCCACGGGCCGGGTACGGAACCCGAAGGGTCACCGTGAGCGGCGCGTGGTCGGACCATGTGATAGGGCCTATTGCGACTGCCATGATGTGTGTCAGTGTGGTTTTATCCGTGATGCATAGATCTATCCTGGAGTGTGTCATGTGCACCGGGGAGTAATATGTGTAATCTTTGGTTCTCGGATAGAGACAGCGCCATGAGTCGTATAGGTCTTGTGTAAATAGTAGTCGACTTAGGTGTCGCCCCAGTGTAAGTGATGCCCCTTTTGGACCTCTGTTCTGTGTGCGTTGAATGTCTAGGTGGGGATCCGGAGTACAATTGAAGTCTCCACATATAATGACATGTCCTTTCTTATGTTTCGCTACCTGTTTTAATGCTTTTGTGAGAAATGCTGTTTGGTTCTCGTTGGGGGCGTATAGTGAAGCAATCGTTATTAGTATGCCATTTAGTGTGCCAACTAAAATAAGTAGCCGGCCGTCTCGTCCTGTATGTTGGTGGTTTGGTGTGAACGCCCAGTCGTCGTGAAAGTATATGGAAACCCCTTTTGATTTTGTTGGGGAGTGTGCATGATATGCTTGGGAATAGTGCCGGACTACAAATCTTGGGGGGTTGCGAGTACAGAAGTGTGTCTCTTGCAGACAGGCTATGGCCGCCCCAGAGGTTTGGATGTCGCGTGCCGCCAACCTCCTTTTATGGGGGCTATTAAGGCCTTTCACGTTCAGGGAGAAAAGGGTCATAGTATTAGGTGTCCCCATGGCTAGATTTGTGTGTGTCCACTGTATTGGAGGTCCCTAGTGGGATTCGCTTTGACATTAGGGGTGAATAGGTGTCCTGCAGTAGTGTGCTAGTGCTCTGGGGTCTCCCTCCCCTCTCTAACTCTGCTCCCTCCTGACGGGTAATGTGGTCCTGTGGAGCATAGTTCAGTACAGTGATTCCAGATAACATAATAAACATATACATAAACATAGAAAACAAATAAAGTATATACATAATTTCCCTACTAGATAGGGATGTCAGTGTGGTTGGGGCGACCTCCCTGCGAAATGCTTGGGAGGCAAGCCCAACAGGGGGATTAAAGATAACCTGCGTGGTTCGGCCAGAACCGGGACCCCTTAAGTGTGCGATCGTACATAGCTTACATTATACAGACAGCCTTGTATACGTTACTGTTATATGAGAGCATCCCGCCCTCTCAATTGAGTAGTTATGCGTACTTTTTTTTTTGTGTGTTTTTTTTATTTATTTTTATTTTTTATTTTTTTATAATTTTTTTTTTTTTTTCTGTTTTGTTTTTGTGTGCCCTTTGTGAGCCCTCCCTCCCATCAGCTGTGAGACTCACTAAACATAAGTGCCTTGAAACAAATATGAATTGGAGCCATATACATTACGCAGCGTTATGGTCTTCTTCAGCGTCCATTTTCTTTCCGTCTTGGCAGGCGGTCAGTTTCGTGGAGGGGCAGAGGGTTGTGTGAGGAGAGTTCATTTGTCTCTTCTTGGCGATCCCACCATGTGCCATTCGGTTGTGATTTTCCTTTGCGGTTTCGGAGCTTGCGCTTGCTGGTCCGGCGACTGGAAAAGTCCCCATTCTCTCAGGAGGCGCATTCCGTCCTCTGGTTCCTCGACAACGTGGTTTTTGTTGTTCCTCCAAATGATAATTTTAGTGGGATAGCCCCAGCGGTATGAGACATCGTGGTTACGGAGAGTTTTTGTGACCGAGATGAATTCCTTCCGACGGCTCATTGTGAGAGCGGATAGGTCTGCGTACAGTTGCACCCCCTGGAACGGTTCAGGTAGCGATGGGAGTTTGCGCGCGGCAGTCAGCAGTGAATCTTTTGCTGTGTAATAGTGGAACCTGACCACTACATCGCGTGGGGTGTCTGCTGTGAAGCGTTGTGGTCTAGGCAGTCGGTGTGCTCGGTCCAGCTGCCACTCCGTAGTGACCCTCTCTGGCAGCACGGCTTGGCATAAGCCTTTAATGTAGTCGGGCAGAGCCTCATGTGTGACGTTGTCAGGGATGCCTCTAAACCTGACATTATTGCGCCTAGAGCGATCCTCTATGTCCGCCATTTTCCTCTTTAGCTGCTTGTGTTCCTCACTGAGAGCTTGTAATTTAGCCTCCATGTCAGTGTGAGCTGAACATATTTCGTCTGTGCGGACTTCCAGTCTGTCTGTTCTGTCTCCTAGCTCAGACAAGTCCTGTTTAAAATCTGTCACCATTGTCTGGAAGTCTGCATGCAAGGTAGCCCTGAGCTCTTGTAGCATGGTATAGAGACTTCTCTCACTCACCGGGTTGTCTGTGTAGCGACCTGTGGGGTCTCCTGTGTCTGGCTGATCTTCAGCACTGGAGGCCGTCGCCATGCTGCCGTCGCCATCTTGGCTGGAGCGGAGGCGGTCTTTTTTAGCGGACCTGATCGGGTCCGTAATTTTCAGCTGCTTGGAGGGCGCCATGTGATCTCCCGTTGCTCGATGGGGTGCTGCAGGGCCGGGATTCGTGAGTCAGTCACGGCTGTCTATGCTGTTGGGGTCCGTCGGCCTGGGAGCTCTCACTCCATGCGCCTTTCCCGGTCGGCCGTTAGCCACGCCCCCTGCAGAGAGAGAGAGCTTAGTTTTGATCTGAGCTTTGTCAATGTGTCGTGCGTGCGTTTAGTGGGTTTGCGTTTGTGTGCCTCTTCGTGTGTGATTATTTCTTTTTCAAGGCGTGTTCTTTCAGCATTGTGCTGCTTCTTTACTATCGCCCCCATCTGGATAAAACTCTCCCTTATGACTGCCTTATGGGCTAACCATTTAGTGAGAATTGTTGTTTGGCAAGTTGCATGGGTCTCAAAGTATTCCTGTGTTTTGACCTGTATTTGAAGGAGATTCCCTGGAGTGTCCAGAAGGCTTTCATTGAGGCGCCAGGTGCCTCGTCCCCTAGCTGGGTACGGAATTTTTATAGTTATGATTTGTGGAGCGTGGTCGGACCACGTGATTGGACCTATTTGTACTCTCAGTGCAAATGGTAGTGTTCTTGTGTCTAGGAGGCATAAGTCTATTCTAGTGTAGGTCATATGGACGGGCGACTAATACGTGAAGTCCTTCTCACGTCGATATAGATTCCTCCATGTGTCATAGTAATCGTGCTCATGCATAAGGGTACTGAGGTGCTGGCCTAAAGCCAAAGAGGCTGGCTTTGGCGGCTCATTATTCACTCTGCTGATATCTAGGGATGGGTCGGGGGAGCAATTAAAGTCCCCGCATATGATGGTGTGTCCTTGTTTGTATTGTGCAATTGTGTGGAACGCCCTGTTTAGGAAGTGTTTCTGCGCTTCATTCGGGGCATATAGTGAGGCTATAGTTATTTGTAGTCCGTTCAGGGAACCCACCAGAACCAGCAGCCTCCCATCCCGTCTAGCATATTGTTTGGAGAGTGAAAATACCCAGTCCCTATGGAAGTACACGGCTACCCCCCTGGATTTAGTCGGTGATAGGGCGTGATAGCTTTGGGCGTATTGTTTGACGCTAAATCTAGGGGTATTGCGGATGCAGAAGTGCGTCTCCTGCAGGCATACTATTGCTGCTTTAGATTTACCCATTTCCAATGCTGCCATTCTGCGTTTATGGGGGCTGTTGAGGCCTTTCACATTTAATGTTAGGATTTTCAGTTCGTCAGCCATACATTCTTTTGTGAGGCTGCTTGTGCAGTTCATGCGTGTACGGGTAAGGATGTATAGCAAATGGTGTTGGTGTTGTCCAGGGGGGGAAGGATCGGGGTAAAACGAGGATAACAAAACCACGGGTCTGTAACAAACTCAAGTATATACATAGCGCCGGTATTTTTGACAGCGCTCTTCCTGGTTTAGGCGCAAGTCGGGTGTTTTGTCCCGTCTCTGCGCGCAAACCTAGGGGATGGTCTGGTTGTGAGAGCATGCTACCT